AACATATCGTCATTACTTTACATAAGAATATGAAAGCAACACTTATTTACTGTTCATATATATTTTAATTAATGTTTCTGAACTTGTTTTTATTGAATTAATGTGTGTGTGTGTGTGCAAAATTAACAATACAATTTATTAATAATACGTGGAATATTAGAGGAGACGAGATGGCTGCCGGCATTGTTTATGTTAAAGCTTACAAAACCACTGACTGATTGGTTCTACATATAAAACTGAAGAAAATAAGACCCTGATTTTAGCTGTAGTAAAATTAATGTAAAAAAATTAATATGGTTGTTTGAAGTACCTGTAATGTTATTTAATGCTAATAAATGGAACAATATAAGTAGCTAACCATTAATGGTAAAGAAAAAGTGAGACTGCACGTATGTAAGTGCGCACATGTGAAAACATATCGTCATTACTCTACATAAGAATATGAAAGCAACACTTATTTACTGCTCATATATATTGAAGGGTTAAATGTATAGACAAGCAGAGAGAGAGAGAGAGAGAGCAGCCGAACTGCCGGATGTAAACAAACCTTAACTTTTTGCGGCTTTTTTTTTTTTAAAGGGATTAGCCCACCCGGCATAGGTCACTGACCACATTGGGGCCTGAGGCAAAATTTAATACTGTGTTAATAATAATAATAATTCAGATAAAAAAAAAAAAAAAGAAGTTCCTATCTACCTATTGGACCAACTAAAATCGTTCCAGACCACAGAATGCCGGACTAGAGAGGTACGACCTGTACAAATTTCATAGTATAAACATTCCAAACAATGTTGGTATTATTTTGGTTTTGGTCATCTGGGGAACCTTAAGATTCTAACTATGGGACTAAGTACTTTAAACAATAAGACACATTATCTCTACAGGATTTCTGTCGAAAATTTTTTTCCGATTGCTTAAGAAAATACAGGTCATAGGTTAGGTTATGATAAGTTATATTATATGTTATAAGGTTAGCTTAACATACACTGGGGGGGGGGGGGTAGTAGTAACTAAAAACTAGTGATTTCCGATATAAATGAAGGTCAAATCGTTCATAACACTGCAAACAAGCAGAAAAACAGTCTGCATGTCTAAGTACAGGGATGACCAAAACGTAAAATTTACACAATATAGCCTATCTCGAATCTAAACATCCAAATACTTGTGGTAGTTAAAGTACTATTTTTCCATTAATTAATATAAATGATGATACAGTACATGTATATCCCAATGCATTCTCAAAACCAGTCCAGACAATGTCATTACCGGTACTTCCAAATTGACTCGTATCTCCATCTAGTACTGAAATACTCTGTAAATGCACTGGAAAAAAAGAGAGAAAGTCTACTGGGTAAGAATGTGACAGCTGAGCTGATGTGAACATGGGAGTTTTTTATGTCCATAAGCTGCTCTTCACCGCACATTTCTTCACTTACAAAATGTCCATGACTTAGATCACAAAAAAATAAAAATAAAACTTAACTGAATGTGGTAGGGTCTGAAGAGGCCATCCTTTGTACTCCCTCCGACTGCAGTGGTGAATTTGTCGAAGAATGTCATCTGCGGGGAAACTGGTGACGTCATTGCAAATGGCGGCCCTGTTTTTAGAGAAATAAACTCTCCACTATTATAGCAGGACTTTAAACTTTTATTACAAGTTTTATATATACCGTATTACTCTACGAACATTGCAGTGTGTATTTCTTATGTTTACTCAGAACCGACAACTTGTCTGTTGTTGCATAAATGCCAGAGCTGATCTTCCTCATGGGAACAGTTAGGTTATTGTAGTGCAATAGCAAGTCTTTCAGTCGCAGGGGCTATGTTACTGAAGCATAGCCCTCTTGAACTTGGAAGAGACACAGTTGGTTTTCATGTGTGCAGTATATAAAGAGAATGTAGGGGTCTATCATTACTGTGTTTTTTGTGATGGTCACATTTTTTCACTTACCTCTGTACAACAAAAATGTGGGCATTTCTAAGCTTCACCTTGTTGAATTGAATAATTAGATAGGAATAATAAGGCAGATAAATAAAAAAAAGGAGAATGCATATACAGGACTACATTATTGGGAATTGTTAAAAATTTAGATTTTTATAGTTTTAGCCATTACATTTATTATTATACTAGTTGTTTGTTATTCTGTTGGTTATTATAAGTGTTAGAAATTCCCTATCACGTATAGTTTGGCTGTAAGCAATATTAGAATACGAAAATCCATCCCCAGCAGTTTACACAGGAACAGCGGTTATAAGTTTGTAAAGTAAACAAAAAAAATGAAACTTAAAAATATTTTACAAATAATTTTACAGGCAAATATTACTATACAATGGAGGGCAGGAGAGTATGAGAGGGACAATGGGAGAAATTTTAAAGGGACAGTTGAGCAGCACATTCTAGTGTGAATGCTGGGAGACTACTGTACTGAAGTACTCAAGCTTTGCACTTGGAGGGGTTGCCTTATATCTAATTTGCATTGGATTACCATGAGAGAGAAATGGTTTGAGGAGTGACACGCCAAAATATGGATCATTCGTCTTTTTTTAATGCGAGCATGGTATTGGTGCCAATTAGATGTAAATGTAGAGTCATGGTGTGCAAGTGTTAATCACTGCTGAAAAATAGCAGACAATTTAAAATACAGTCTCCTTGACTTACGACAACCCAGACATAAGACGTCCATGGTCGTATAAAATATTTTTCATATTACAGGTACAGTACATATTTTCAAGTCCCGACATAAAAGTGATCGCTCTGTGTACGGACAAAAATTTTTTGGGAATTCCCTTTAAAATGGCTGGCAAGCGTAAAAGTGAGAGTTCTCGTGGTGCTGAGAAGAAAAAGAGACCGACATTTTAGAATTTCTATATTATTTTTGCCTCTTCGACTTACGACATGGTCGTCGGGACGGAACCCTGTCGTAAGTCGAGGAGAGACTGCAATGGGAAGAAACCTTTAATAACTAGACATAGAACATGCATGAAAAGCATATCCTGTGTTTAAACTGGTAGTTGATGATTTTCTCGAGCACTTGTACACTTTCATTACTGAATATAAAATGGAACTCTACATTGGAGACTATAAATGCATTTCTTAAATGAAGCTTCATCTTAGTACCTGTATACTGCACAGTACAGTATTAACCTTCTCGTGCACATAATAAGTTTTTGTGACCATGGCAAAAGTCATGTAAGGTGTGGTAAATTTTTTTTGCAATAATTTATTTATTTATATTTTTATAGTATATACATTACTGGCTTTATTCTTGTTTTGGCTTTAGGCAAAAACATAAGCATACAAATAAATAAACAGTTTTCTCTCCTTGTGTATGTATATATATATATATATATATATATATATATATATATATATATATATATATATATATATATATATATATATATATATATATATATATATATATATATATATATATATATATATATATAATTTTTTTTTTTATGTATTCTGTACCAGTATTTGTGTTCCCAGCATCGTATCCTGGATTTTTTCTCCCAACCTACCTAGGTAATTACCATATTTTACGGCATACAAGACGCACTTTTTTATCTGAAGAATGGCCAAAAAAATCAGCATGTGTCCTATATGTGAAGTTGCCATCTCCTGTAAGCTAATGAATCTCTGATTTTCAGGCAATGTAACAGCTGGTGGCATTGATGAGGATGATGACGATGTACCTGAACTTGTTGAGGACTTTGAAGCTGCAAGCAAGACAGAAACAGGTGTGTTATTATGATTATTTGTTGATGTAGGTTAGTGCAATAGAATTTCAGTGTACTGAGCACATGCCAGTCCAGTACAACAGGTGATACAAGAGTTATTTTTTAGTGGCTGCAGATTAGATATTGTAGATGAACTTCGTGTATTCAGTTGGAATGATTATTTTTTGTACAGTTGAGTATAATTTGACAGCCATTTACAAAAACATGGTAAACCAATGAGGGACTTATCAAATCAAATGATTGACCTTGGTTACCCCTAGTGGGGTTTGGTAAATGGATGGTAGGGAATTTTAGTGAATACCATACTTTGCTGTGGTTCATCTCAGACATTTCTTGTTTAAGGGAATTGTACCAAAGTTGCTTTTGTATTCCAAAGGAGAGTCCCAAAGTGCAGGCTGATTTTTTTTCTTCCCCCAAGGGCATGGTTCCATAGTAACGTGCAAGGTTCTCGTTATAAACCATCAAATGGACATTTTTACCAGTCAACAATTGACTAAGCTTGTTTAAATTAGTTATAGAAGTCTTCATTAATTTGTTCAAAAGAATTAGTGTATAAGCTAAGGTCTCCTTGATTCCCAGCCTCTAAACATACAATAAAAATCCTGCATCCACTAACATGGATATTTCAAGACTAGTATCCAAATTCCTTGGTTTGTAGTTTTTACCATAAGTACTGTTGGCTAAGATTTGAAGGTGTTACTGATAATTTATTTATGCACTTACAATATTATTGAATTCCAATTTAAGCTGTCACTTTCAAATATGAAATATTTTGCTGTTTATATGTACAATAGGTCATAGTCAACTGTAAACTTGGAAAGAAATATAGGGACACAGGTTTGGTACTGTATTAGGTGTGGGTATTTTTTGTCGGTGACGGCTTCTAAACCTTAAACAAATTCACGCCCGGGTGGTCTTTGGGCGGGTCATCCTTGACCACGAGGGCAACCATTATTATTTATAGGTATAAGTACAGGCAGTCCCTGGGTTACGAGCATTTGCCGATGCGAACGAGGTTAATCTTGAAATGTACTGTACAGTTTTATTTATCTGATGACTTATTTTTTACTTTTGTTTATTGTTTTGTCATTTTAGTTCTTTTCTCAAATATATATATATATATATATATATATATATATATATATATATATATATATATATATATATATATATATATATATATATATATATATATATATATATATATATATATATATATATATATATATATATATATATATATATATATATATATATATATATATATATATATATATATATATATATATATATATATATATATTTATTTGTACCCAAAGACTGCCTATACTGACTTTACTTCATGTACAGTAGCTAAAACAACTATCTGTGCAGGTGGGGGTCGATATGCTCCCAAAATTTTACGTCTGACTCGTGACAGCCCTCATATACCAATATTTATCATCCATGGTCTATATTGTTTCCCACAAAGTATGCACACAGATAATTGCTTTAGCTACTGTACATTAAACCTTCTGTTTCTGATTTTTATTTATTTACTTTTTCTTATGGAAGAGAGTTAGCAAAATGTGCTCTCCTGAAATGTGATAAAAATTATACTAATTAAATCATTATGGTATACTGAAACTTTAGAGACTAGAAATCAAGGGTTTACTGTATCACTCAACAGTGTCACTATTGTTTTCAGAATCATTTTTAGTAGCTAAAAAGTATTTGATAATTGTAGCGTGTTGGAAAGGTAAATGAAAATGAATGAAGATTTAGATGAGTGCAGTTGGTTTAAAAGTTATACATTGTGGTTGATTTAACGAGAACAACATTTAACACCTATTTGTATTGGGTGACATGAACTTTGAAAGTTATTAGCAACATTTTAAATTGCTGTGTCTTGTTAACAAGACAAATGCAGGCGTTAGTTGAAATGCCTAGATGTATTCCAATTTTAGACGCTCCTGTATTTATTTTTTTATTAATATTTTATTTTATTTTATTTTTTATTTATTTTTTCAAATATGTATGCCAGTACAGTACTTATTTTTTCTGTAAGGATAGTGTGGCTGCATGATTGATAGTGAGTGGTTCAATAGAATGGATGTGATGCTGTATCACAAAGTAATGAATAAATTAGATGGAAATCCTGTGGTTTGTGGAAAGATTGCTGCAATAACAGAGCACTTTTTACAACAGCTAGTGAATGTGTTTGTGATTGCAACTATCCTGCATCATAGTGGGAAAAGGCAAGAGTGGATAAAAAAAAGAAGAAATTGAAGGTAGATTTCAGATATGGAAGTAAACACAAAGGTTTTCTGGGTGGACAATTTGAAAGGTCATATTATTAATGTATCATGCTTCATTCAAGTGACCTGCTGAAGACCCCTTAGAGTTACTTATCACCACAGAAGGATGGTATTACTAAGCCTATGTACAGGTGTTAATCAGTATGTTACCTTGATACCCACTAATACATCCTAACTGGAGTACAGTATTACTAGTCTACATTATTGTAGTACCAACAGTTTACTGACATTTAAGAGTTTGATGATCTTAGCAGATAATGACCCTTTGCATGGAAGTTTCCTTCTCAAAAGAATCTGAAAATCACTTGTCCTATTTTTATAACAGCTGACACAGAGAAATTGACTACACCAAATCAGGGGCTAATTATAGAGGATCTTAAGGAAGAACTTGATGATGTACCAGAACTAATAGAGGCAGGGCAAGAAACTATAGCTCTGTCTACCCCTACAAAGGAAGAGGACAAGGAATGTACTGCTCCACCTGACACAGAGACCAAGAAGGATGCCAATGTTCCTGCCCCAGAGGAAACTAAGAAAGAAGTCCCACCACCTACCAAAGAGGAAGTCCCTGTTCCTTCCAAGGAGAATGTGAAGAAGGAAACCCCAGCCCATGGAAAGAAGGAAGTACCCGCTAGTAAAAAGAAGACTAAGGAAGATAAGAAAAAAACCCCACCTGCCAAGACTGAAGATACGAAACCTGCACCTAAACAATCCAAGAAGCAACAGGCATCCACAGCCCGTATCAAGGAAGAGGGCAAGGAAACTGCCCCTGCCCCAGCCAAGGAGGAGGCAGCTGTTCCTGTCAAAGAAGAGGCAAAGGAGGAGGCTAAAAAGGCTGCTGCTCCTGCTTCAGCTAAGAAAGAAACCAAGGAGGAGGCTAAGAATGCTACTGCTCATGCCAAGGAAGAGTTAAAGAAGGATGCTGTTCCTAATCCAGGTAAGAAAGATGCTAAGAAGGAAGCTGCACCTGCTAAGGATGAAACTACTATTCTACCCAAGGAGGAGGCTAAAAAGGGAATGGCACCTTCCCCAGCCAATGAGGGACCTGCTGCAGCCAAGGAGGCCGCACCTGCTGCAGCCAAGGAGGCCGCACCTACTCGTGCTGCTCCAGCCGAGGGGGCCGCACCTGCTCCAGCCAAGAAGGCCACACCTGCTCCAGCTAAGAAGGCGCCAAGAAGGCCTGCTCCAGCAAAGAAGCCGCCCTGCTCCCTGTTCCACCCAAGGCCACCCTGCTCCTACACAGCCAAGGAGGCCACCCTGCTCCTACCACAGCCAAGGAGGCCTGCTCCTACCACAGCCAAGGAGGCCGCACCTGCTCCTACAGCCCCGCACCTGTCTGCCACAGCCAAGACCTGCTCCTGCCACAGCCAAGGAGGCCGCACCTGCTCCTGCACAGCCAAGGAGGAGACCTGCTCTACCACAGCCAAGGAGGCCGCACCTGTCCTACCACAGCCAAGGGAGGCCGACCTGCTCCTACCACAGCCAAGGAGGCGACCTGCTCCTACCACAGCCAAGGAGGCCACCTGCTCCTACCACAGCCAAGGCGCCCACCACCTACCACAGCCAAGGAGGCCGCCTGCTCCTACCACAGCCAAGGAGGCCGACCTGCCGCCAAGGAGGCCGACCTGCTCCTACCACAGCCAAGGAGGCCGCACCTGCTCCTACCACAGCCAAGGAGGCCCCTGCCTACCACAGCCAAGGAGGCCTCCTGCCAGCCAAGGAGGCCCTGCCCCGGCCAAGGGCCCCCCCTGCCCCAGCCAAGGCCAGGAGGCCCCCCCAGGCCAAGGAGGCCCCCTGCCCCCCGGGAGGCCCCTGCCCCAGCCAAGGAGGCCCCCTGCCCCAGCCAAGGAGGCCCCCCCGCCAGGGCCCCCCCCTGCAAGAGCCCTGCCAAGGCCCCAGCCAAGGAGGCCCCCTGCTGAGCCAAGGAGGCCCCTGCCCCCAGCCAAGGAGGCCCCCTGCCCCAGCCAAGGAGGCCCCCCTCCCCCCTGCCCCAGCCAAGGAGGCCCCTCCTGCCCCAGCCAGGAGCTCCCAGCCAAGGAGGCCCCCCTGCCCCTCCCCCCCCTGCCCCAGCCAGGAGGCCCCCTGCCCCCCAGCCAGGGAGGCCCCCTGCCCCAGCCAAGGAGGCCCCCAGGCCCTCCTGCCAGGACCCAGCCAAGGAGGCCCCTCCTGCTCCAGCCAAGGAGGCCCCTCCTGCTCCAGCCCCTCCCCCAGCCCCAACCCCTGCTCCAGCCAAGCCCCAGAGGAGGCCCCAACCCCTGCTCCAGCCAAGGAGGCCCCAACCCTGCTCCAGCCAAGGAGGCAACCCCTGCTCCAGCCAAGGAGGCCACTCCTGCTCCAGCCAAGGAGGCCCCTCCTGCTCCAGCCAAGGAGGCCACTCCTGCTCCAGCCAAGGAGGCCCCAACCCCTGCTAAGGCTGCCCCAACCCCAACTGCTAAGGCTGCCCCCCCCCTGCTAAGGCTGCTGTCTGCCCCAACCCCTAAGGCTGCTGTGCAACCCCTGCTAAGGCTGCTGCCGCTACTGCCCCTGCCAAGGAGGCGGCTGCTGCTCCTGCCCCTGCCAAGGAGGCGGCTGCTGCTCCTGCCAAGGAGGTGGCTGCTGTTCCCGCCCTTGTCAAGGAGGTGGTTGCTGTTCCTGCCCTTGACCCTAACCCTGCTACAGTTTCAAGTGAAACTCCTGCGCAGGCATCCGTCCCAGAGGGGACCCCTGTTACAACCTCAGTTAACACAGCTACAAAAGCTGCAGCCCCGGTACCTACCCCTGCACCATGCACAGTTCCCAACCCAATATCCACTAGCACCCCATCTCCTGCATCACCTACCATACCCGCCCCTGCTTCTGCTCAATCCCAAGCTCGATCTGGACATGCAGGGCAGCCTACAAAGGGCAAACATGCTAAGAAGCAGAAGCAAAAGGGGAAGTAGGGTATGTTTGTTTGAATGTATGGAATAGTCATTCACTGTCTCGTTAGTGTATTGCTGGGGTAGTGTGCAGCCCTGAATTTGCTCCTACCCTAAGCGTTTATCTACCAAATCAGTCGATTGGCATTTGCTCCTTTGAACATGCGTGGTATGATGAGTGGCTTAACAATTAGATTAACTTGATTACTTAGAGTGTGAAGTTATTTTACAAGAAAGAGTAATTTTAGTTGCATGGTATGTACTACTTGGCTACATTTTATATAATTTTGCAAATGTGTTTGGACACTAACCTACTACTGTATAAAACAAAGTGTACTATAGTGGGTTGATAACTGCATTTGAGTTTTCATGTTTTCATTTTTTCCCCAGTAACAAGTTACCTTCAGATGCCGTGAACCCCATATTTAATTGCCTGTGGTTGATGAGATTTTAGGGTTATGTTTATTTTTTCTACTAATACTTTTAGGTTTTACCAAATTAATTTTTTTATGAGTTTATTATTGTGTGTGTATATTGAAGTTTGTTGATGCACCCAGAATTTTATGCCCCCACCATAGACTGAGGATAGCATTTTTAATGTCCATTCTTCCTTGTTACATGTGATGTTCTCTGAAAGATTGAGTGGGTAAAGTTCAGTGATTATATTTTAAATTTTACTTTCGTTGGAACAGACTATTTATGTTGGCAAAATATAGTGAATGACATATGCAGAGTTATAAGTTCACTCCTATGGGTTTGATGAAAGATTCAGAAGTGTCGAACATTCCAACTATATACATATTGTAATGGTCAGTCATGTTGGATTTTTTATTTTTTTCCTTCAAATGAAAAATGGGAACACTAATTTTTTCAGTTACATATGGGGTCTAGTAGGACATTGATTTTATTTATTTTGTAGCTGTTGAGAAGCCTGCAGTGACAGTGGAGAAGGAAGTTAAGTCTGAAGCCAAGATTGAAGAAGTTACAGTTGACGAAAAGCCTGAAGTGAAACCAGAGAAGCCGAAGGAGGAAACTGAAGTTAAATCCACAAAGATAGAGGAAGTATCACAGTCAGCAGATAAGTGCTCTGAGGAGTAACAATATGCTCGGGGTGATGGCGGTAGCGGCGCAGGCATCAGTTACCTGAAGCTACTCCGTGGTTACTACTGACCAGCAGGAAACAAGAATCCTCAGATGTAAATGATGGCCCTCTTTCTGCTGTCTAAGACAAACTCTTAGCTCTTAGGATTTCTGTAATTGTCTTTGACAGCTGTTGTCTCCTGTTCTAGCTGTTCTGTTTCATACTTGCCTATTATTTTTTGTGTATATAAAAGATTGTATCTCTTTGATAATGCATCAGTGGACTTTTTATCTCCTTATCCTTTGCCTGTCTCGTATATTTAGAAAAGGGGAAAAAAATCTGTTGAGTGACTGGGCGATCACGCAGGATTTGTATCGAGCCTTGTAATATTAAGAAATTAAAGTAAGAAGATTTTCCTTTGTTTTATTTGTCCATTATGGTCAAACATTTAAGCCATGTTGCCTAGTGACAATATTTTCAACCAAATAGTGTAGAATGCCTGGTATGTACTCAAACTGCTTGACATTTTTTGTAACATTAAGGTAAGTCTGCTTTGTTCTTTGGAGATAAATTTTACAGGTAAAAAATGAGGTAAAATTTATAGAAATATAAATCATAATTTCAGTGGCTGGAAGTATGGATAAACTTAGTTATATTGCAAATCACCTGTAGAAAAGAAATGATCAATGAGGTCAGAAAGGTGTTTGACAAGCTTTAAGTGAATGGTATTCATAGAGGAAATATATTGGTAATGTTTTTCAAGTTCTGTGTATTGGTTGGTATTTACTGTATGTGGTTAATATAAAAGGGTGGATCAAGGAAAAATTGGAATGTATATGTTACTGGTAAACTGAAATCTAGGCACTTTATGAAATGCCCAGATGTTTTATAGAATGCCGGGTTTGTTTTATGCAATGTATGAAACGAGACATGTTTATACACATTTATTTCCATCAACTAACTTTATGTATTGTTAGGTTACGGGAATGAACGTGTATAAACCGGTATCAGTTCACACATTTGTTGACTTTGCCAATAAAAACAATGTGTATTAACATTTTTCCTTTTAATGTCTTGCATTTGTCCAATTATGCATTTTAATAATCCCTAGATACTGTAGAATGCCGAGGTAAAGTATAAAAGGTCATACATTATTAAAAAGATTATTATTTTATACTTTGCCTAAAACAAGCCTGGCATTGTATGGAATGCCTGATTTACATTTGTACTGATATGTACTCCTTTTCATAGAACATTAACATATCTCCATTCTCTCCACTGGTAATATTTTTCAAGTCCTGTGCATTAATTGGATATTTAGTAGACTTCCCCAAACCCCTTCACTATGAGGAAGCAGTATTTTATTTGGCCAGTGCCAGACGATTTTATTCAGCACAGAAGGGATTCTGTACACAAGTGGTTAAATTTATACCTGGGTTACTACTTACTCATATTCAGTTTCAAAGTATTTATAATTGGAAAATTCAATGCTGTGAATGGTTAAACAGTATTGTATAATCCTACCATGCAACTGGGCAGTCTATTTATGCTTGAAATATCCAATGAACATGTAAACGGAAATTATTAACATTGTACAGTACCACAAACTAGGAGGCAAATTTTAGCAGTTAAAAGAATGTGGTTTCATTTCACAGATAAAGTATTTCTGGAAATGTTACATTTATGGTTATGTGGGCTTAGGAGAAACTTTTATGCTGGCTTGCAGATGGTGGATCTGAGGGGGGCCAGCTTTCATGATTTTCTGGCTGTTGACCAGCACATTTAAGTCATTGAGGTTGATGCTCTCACTATTGAGGATGAGTATCTTCACTCTTTGCCTAGGCCATTTTGTCAGTGGGAGTAAAGTTCTCATGGTTTGAAGACATGTATCATGGAGCTTAAAAGTTATTTTTTTTTTTTTTTATTATTTTAACTTGACAAAAGCAAATTCTGACTGAATTCATTTAACTATAGTGGTCATTAACAGCACTTTGGAAAGTGAAATCTACTGAATATTCAAACAAACTCCTAAAAATTAAATGTTATGAAGAACAATTTAAAAAAAAAAGATCCTGTAATATTATGGAATAAACTATGTATGTGTTTACCTTTGCTCTAAATGTTCTCTTGTTCTTATTGTGTTCTGTTGCAGATGTACAGTGGTCCCTCGGTTAACGAACGGTTCGATTAATGAAATTTCGGTTTAAGAATTACCTCCCATAAGGATCTTCAATAAAGTTAACGAACAAAACTTCGATTAACAAAATCCTTACAACAAACACGTTTTGTTGTGAGCATCAGCTGATGGGCTAATCTGCTAATTCAGAAATGTGTTCTGTGTTTACATTCGTTTCCAGTGGATTAAATATCAAGAAAGTTGTGCTTTAAGATTTTTGCATTTTTTATATTAAAATTATTAGTAATTTTAAAATTTAGTTGACATTGATAATATATGCAGTACAGGGAACTAGTTTTTTGTGGGCCCTTCAGCCGCTTGACCCACCCACCAGGCATTAGTTTGGCTTTGTTTACAGTGGAGTGAACATCGATTTTGTGGTGTCTTGAATATTTTTGCATTTTTACATTAAAATTATTGGTCATTCTGAAATTTAGTTAACATATTGATAATGTACAGTGCAGTGCAGTGTTGATTTAAATAAAATAATCTTGAGTTACACCTAGTGAACTTAAAATTTTATTGGTGAAATTACTGCATCAAGCATTGGTCCCCTGAAAGGTGATTGCTTCTCCATCCCCACTTCCTTCTCTTCCCCCTTCTCCTCCACCCCCACTTCTAATTCCCATCATCTCATCATCAACCAGGTACCTTCTACATACACACCTCAAAGTAAGTGTACTTTACTGCATTTTTTTCCTTTGTATGTACTTTTCTGTGAGCTGGAACCAATTACCCAATATCCCATTGAAACAATGGATTCAGTTAACAAAATTTTCAGTTAACGAACGACTCTGTGGAACGAATTATGTTCGTTAACCAAGGGACCACTGTATATGGATTTATGAGTTGAATAAAGCCTTGATTATTGATGGTGTTCTACTAGCGACATGGTACGCATACTCTGCCCATCCAGCTGCTGAGAAGGAATACAAGCATTGGCATAAAACTTTTGAAAACTTTATTGATGAGTGTGGAGACAGAGCACCTGACAAATTACGATGTTTGACAAAATATGTGTCTGCTACTGTGTATGAATACTTTGCTGATGCTATGGAGTTTGAAACAGCTATACAAGTATTGGAAAAGGTGTATGTGAAAAAGAAAAATGAGATATTCACCAGACACCAGCTCGCCACAAGACATCAGCGTCCTTCCGAAACACTGGATGAATGTCTTCGCGACTTGCACAGACTCAGCTTAGTTTGTACTCTAAAAGCTGTCACAGCCGAAGAATATCGTGAAGAGTTAATACGGGATGCCTTCATCAACGGACTGTCTGCAAATATATGTCAACGTCTATTGGAAAATCAGGCTCTTGCACTCTCTCCAGCCTTTGATCAAGCTAGAGCCTTGGATTTTGCACAGTGTACTCCGGAAGCCTTCCAGCCACTAGGCCCTGTCATTGCAGCAGCTTCAGGATTTGTAGAGTAAACTGTTAGTCACCATCCACTAATCAACAAGATATATGTCCAGTTGAGGACTCAACACTTGCTTGTATGACCACTAAGAAACGCTGTTGGTTTTCTGGTGGCAGTCTTCATTTACGGGAGAGATGTCCAGTTAAAGAGTGCACTGGGCAAAAGTCTGTCAGACTAAAGGGTAAGAAACAGGTCACAGCATCAATTTCATCTCCTACTCTTTGTGCCATCTCAGCTGCTGTTCCTCATTGCCTGAATTGCTCTGCTACAAACTTAAAGGTAAATGGAAGACGAATCTCCAGCCTTATTGATTCGGCAAGTTCTGAGAGTTTCATTGACAAGTGGTTCATCGGCATAAGCTTCACATCAAACCCGTTTTCCAAAGCATAACCCTGGCAATGTCTTCTTCAACGGCTTCTGTGATAGGCGAATGTGGATCTCTATATGAATGACAGTCATTATCCAAACACACATCTGGGCGTCATTGAGAATCTTTGTGGTGATGTTATTCTCGGCATAGATTTCCCAAAACAACACTCCTCGGTTACCATAGAGTATAGAGGACCCAGACCTGAGCTCAAAATTTCCAACATTGGTAACAAGTCTGTATGTAGCCGGGCATCAGAAGGTATGTCAGAACCACTAGGAAGTTTAGCCCAGATGACCAAAAGTTCATTACCAAATAAATACAACGCTTACTGTCCGAAGGCATCATAGAATCAAGTACATCACCTTGGCATGCACAGGTGGTGATTGCAAGAGATGATTCAGGCTGTCACAGAAAACGAATGTGCATCAACTACTCTTTTACGGTGAACATTTACAACAATCTCGACGCATATCCATTGCCAAACATTGAAACCAAGGTCAACACTCTCGCTAGGTACCATGTGTTCTCAACATTTGATCTAAAGAGCGCATACCATCAACTACGCATAAGCGAGTCTGATAAACCCTTTACAGCATTTGAAGCAAATGGCAGACTGTATCAATTCACACGTGTACCATTTGGTGTCACTAATGGTGTTGCCGTTTTTCAAAGAGCCATAGACAAGTTCGTGGAGGAGGAGAATCAATGTGACATTTCCCTACCTTGACAATATTACCATAGGTGGTCAGGATCAGAAAGAACATGATGCAAATCTTGAGAAATTTCTTGGTGCTGCTGAGGAAAGGAAGCTGACACTTAATACATCCAAATCTGCAATATCAGCAACATCGATCAATCTTCTGGGTTATCAACATGGAAATGGTCAAATCAAACCAGATCCTGAAAGGCTAAAACCACTGCAAGAACTTCCACCACCTACAAACCGATCGGCTCTTCAACGTGTACTTGACATGTTTGCTTATTACTCTTAGTGGATCCCAGGGTTTTCAGACA